GGGTCTGGAAGAGGCTTGCCATTGTCTGGGGCTGGTTAAGTCGATGGTTAATGTATCCTCCTTGTGTAAAAGACAATAAATCATCCTTTAATGTATCTAATTCGCTTTTAAATTTTCTAATGTTTTCTATTTGTACTTCTTGCCACTGTTGTTGACTTTCCTGTAGTTGCTGCTGACTTTCTTCCTGTTTCCTTTCTTGTTCTAGTTGCCTCTGCTGTAATCTCTCTTGTTGTTTCTTTTCTTTTTCCTCCAACAACTGCTGTAATTTATATTCTTGTTTATTTTGCTGTTCGAGCTGCCACTGTTGCAGGTTTTCTTGCAATTGCTGTTGTCTCTCTTCTTGTTTCTTTTCTTTTTCCTCCAACAACTGCTGTAATCTCTCTTCTTGTTTCTTTTCTCGTTCTTCTTGTTTCTTTTCTTTTTCCTCCAACAACTGCTTTAATTTCTCTTCTCGTTCTTCTTGTTTATTTTCTCGTTCTTCTTGTTTCTTTTGCTGCTCTTGTATTGCTGCCATCAAGTCTGCTAAGATGTAGTTTGATTTGCCGCCTCTCGATTCCATCTCCTTCTTTTTATTTTCTATCCCACTTCTGACACCAATTTGTTACATCTCTGTATGTTTGTTAATTTTTCTACGATACAAGTCCTTTCTTAAATAAAACTTGTTTATTCTTCCTCAATACAACTTTGCAATACACTTTATTTTCACAGTTACACACACTATAGTTCACAGCAATTCACTCACTTTCTACTGCGCTTGACTCAATTGTCCGTCTCTATCTCCGCCTGTCAGCACCTATAGTTCCGATCTCTGTATCTTCTATCCTCGGTTCCTGCCGACCGCAACTGCTGTCCTTGGTTCCCCACTCTCTCTCTTTCTCTCCCCCTCTCTCTCTCTGTCTAGCGCACTTATATACGATAATACCGCCTCTTCAAGAACCTTCTAGGCTCTTAACACGTGCTACCAGCGTCACTTGACTTCCGCTGTCGTAACACACTAGCATTTATTGCGAATCTTCTAGAATACTTGTCACATGACCCCCGCTGTCGTAACAATTATTTAGGTAGAAGAAAACACCAATAACTGAATAAAACATTTGAAAATACATTTGGTAAATACAAAGAACCAGCCAGGGACACACCCCTATCTGCATCTGCACAAGAATTTCAACCTAGAATACCATCTAATATTAAATTTAGTTTGTTTGTTTGTTTGAAGTTATGCACAAAGCTACACAATGGGCTATCTGTGCTCTGGCCACCACGGGTATCGAAACCCGGTTTCTAGCATTGTAAGTCCGCAGACATGCCGCTGTGCCAATAGGGGGCTAATATTAAATAAGGAACAGGAAAAGCTATTTGATCTATACTTTTTATCACTACTGTTGTGCTGTCTGGGACTGTGGAAACTTCCTAGACTACTCCAACCATGACATTACCAAATCAAGTTCCATAACTTTTCTGGCCAGTTCAACAACATTGTACAATAAAAAATACCAACAAATTATTGTTGCGTCAGCGAGGTCACGTGACTAGTGTCACGCCACGTTTCTAGAACTATCTTG